CCAGCCCCGCCTGGACAAGGTCCTGTGCCCTCTGCTCTGGGTGACCCTGCTTGGGCAGGGGGCTGGGCTGGGGGACCCCAGGGGTCCCTTCCAACCCCGACCATTCAGTGATTCTGTGAGCAGCCTCTCAACGCTGCAGCGTGCTGCGAGGCAGCGACCCAAGCTGTTTATAAAGCCACTAACGTACATTTTAAGCACAAGACTCCTTCTCATTTCCTGAAGAAGCAGACATACTGGCGAAGCAATCTCCGACAGGCACCAACAGCTTTACCCAGCCGCGTTCAGGAACAGATTCTGTTCACGTGCAGAGGGAAAAGCGCTGCTCTCCCCGGCTGCACCGAGGCAAACCGAGAGCGGACGACGTGCAGCCGCGGCACCGCACGCACACCGGAGCCAGCAATCCGCCCTCACACGCGGGGTTTTGTCCCCAGTGACACGCCACCACTGAGCAATCCTACGCACCGACAGCCTTCAAGCTCGACAGCAAAAACGGAGAACTATCACTCCAGGATGAAAGCAAACTCATCTGTGGAAGCGAGCGGCAATCGGGCTCCGAGGCTCCCAGTCCCGTGGCCCCGAAGGAAGAACGCGCCCACGGTGTCCCGAGGGAGGCCGCTCCGCTCCCAAGTGGCTTTAGCTACTGGTCCAACGAGCACGAAAAAGACTGGCAGGCCTACAAAGAGACATTCTCCTCCCTAACAAACAGGACATTCTTCTCTTCTCCAAGCTTGCATTATACCAGTGCCCTCTTGCATTTCACCCAGTTACAGAAGCCTTCATCTATGCGTATTCCTCCTCTTTAATTCCTCGCCCTTCTCAGTCTTCAGAAATATTCCACTCCCCGGGCAAGTCTGTCCCCAAAGAAGGATCCTTCCCGGCAAAGGACAGGATCCCTTCCCAGCACCACCACTCCATCAGCCCTGGAACGGGTGACACCTTGCAGCCAGCGTCCCGCAGCCCAAATGCCGCACCACTGGCAAATCTCCTGCTACTTGTGGGTCACGGAACGGGTTGGGTGGAAGGGACCTGACAGATCATCTCGTTCCAAGCCCCTGCCATGGGCAGGGACCCTTCCCCCAGCCCAGGGTGCTCCCAGCCCCGCCCAACCCGGCC